TCCAGTTATGACTAATAATGAGTACACTGGTGTGTTACGTATTAATAGTTTAAGAGATGAAGTTGATAATGGTGCTAGTTATAATTGTTCAGTTAGTGTGACTCCTAATACTCCTTTTATATTAACAGGGAATGATAATAGCAGTGCAGTTACATTAACTGTAGCAAGTAAGTAAATTAAAATTATTATTTTTAATTGCATTTTGATAGGGTTTGATATCAATCATGTTGATATAAGTATCAATATTCCTTCTGTTCCTGTTGCTGGTGATGTATTCAATTTATCTTGTGTTATAGTTGGACCTCCTAATTTTGTTGAAAATCTTACTAATGTCAGATGGACTTATGATTTAGAAGCATCTCAAGCTGTGACTAGTGAAAACAATGATGCTACACTAGTACCTGTTGTTAGAAATGGAAATATATTCACCAGTGTACTTACACTTGATCCAGTGAAGACACCTGATGCTAGACAATATTACTGTCAAGTAGCAATTAGCGTATTTGGTACTGTAGATCGTACTAACAAAGATTTAACTGTTCAAAGTTAGTACTACTCATTATTTAATTTATCTAAAGCAATATTCCTCTTTTATAGTACCTCCTCCCAGTGTATCAATAGTTGCTGATCCTCCAACTGGTCCAATATATGAGAGTACAAGTTACTTACTAACCTGTACAGCTATAGTAAACACTACAATAGTGGATACACCAGTAACTGCTGGTGTAGTATGGACTGATTCTAGTGGTAATGTAATACCAACTAATGAAGTAAGACGTCAAGTGATACCTCCAACTGGTAACAGTCTTGTAAGCATGCTATTGTTTCAACCTATTGATACTGGTCTTAATAATGATGGAGGAACATATACCTGTCAAATGATCATCAATTCTGGTAACTCATTAATAGCTTCAAGTCAACCTACTGATACTACCCTTGATGTTACTGTTGAAAGTAAGTTACAAAAATACGTGTACTTATAGATGTTATAGATGTATTTCTATTAATCTTTTATTATTATCATACTTTCTTTCTCCATCAGGTCTTCCTCCAATGACAGTAGATTTCTCATCAGTTGGTTCCGTTGAAGTTGGTCAGAGTCTAACTATAACATGTACCATAACAACAGTTGAGAGATTAGTAGTAACACCATTGATTACTTTCATTAAAATGAATGATACAGACATGGAAATGCTCTCTAACTTAAATAGACCATACAGTATCACAAGAGATGATACTGGTTCAGTTACTAACTATACTCTAATACTGGATCCAGTGAGGTTTGAAGATGCTGGAATGTATACATGTATGGCTGAGTTTAATGTAACTGGTTTTAATAATACTAATGATCCTAGCACTGCTACTTATGATTATCGAGAGGATAGTGATACCTTTAATTTAACTGTTGACTGTAAGTTATAAATATTCTGCACAGTAAGTGGTAAATTTAATAGTTAATTTTAAAAAATTTAGATTGATTCTCATTAAAAATATTTATTTATTTAATATTTTACAGTTCCACCAGTGATTGTTACTATATCAAAGGAACATGATGATACATTATATGCTGGGACACCATTCTTCATTAAATGTGACATAATGTTAGATCCATTAGTTACTATACCAGTGACTATCATTACTCAATGGACACGTGATGGTACTAATGTTCCTATGGGTTCATCTGATGCTACTATTACTGAGAGTCTCAATATGATCAATACATTATATTATAATGCAACATTAATGTTCTATCCATTGGATAATGCTAATGACACTGGAATGCATACTTGTAATGTTGAAGTGACTGCTCCTAATAGTTACACATACCTCAGGAATACATCAGCTAGTGCTAGTATTTCTATTACAATTATTGGCAAGTATAATCTATGCTGTATCTACTAATGTATTACATACTTATGTGTAATTGTACCAAAGCTTTCATAGCTTGATGTACTGTAAATATAAGTACCTGCTATTATATTGGGCTGTGACTTTGAATGATTGTGAATTACTTTTTGCTTCACTGTTGTCTTTTTTTACAGCTTCTCCAGTGCCAGTAGTAGAGATAGTGTCTATGGGTATTGCTGAACCTGGTGAAGAATACATGTTAAATTGTATAGTGACAGTTGTTGATAGACTCATAGTCTCACCAGTAATAACATGGACTAAGAGATCAGCTAACAATGTTATTAGTGTACCTTCAGTTCTTATGAATATATCTAATGTAATGAGTTCTCTTTATTTGAACTTCTCTTCTCTCAATACTTCTGATGCTGGTCTGTATACTTGTGAAGCATCCATTAATGTCAGTCAGATATCCATGGTAGCAAGGAATAATGACACATCAAACCTACCATTAGGAAGTAGGCAATTTATCATGCATGAAGTACCGGTTTGTACTTACACTTATGTTATGTATTGAAGCAAATATTATTACATGTAGATCTGTGTCTATGTTTAATTGTACATGTAGCCGTTTTTAGAAGCTATACCAATACATTAATTATTTTTTCAAATGCAATTATGTCTTAAGGTTTCATTTTTGTGTGTACTTCTTGTTATTTATTACATTGTGTGCTCATTCCTTTCAATAATTGTTTTTGATTTATTTATTTTAGTTTCCATTCCATCTGTTGATGTGAGTCAATCAAGAAAGAATTATTTCTTAGCCGGCAGTAACCTGATACTAACATGTGATATCAGTGTTGATTCTAATGTTGATACACCATTCACTGTTAATGTAACCTGGAACATGACTGATCAACAGATCATGAGTAATAGTAATTTCGAAGATGCTAGTGACTTTAATTCAATGATGCTTGCTGATACAGATCGTGTTAATATCAGCTCTGTTATCATGAGATCAGGTTTCAATAAGTATAGATCAATTGTAAATTTCACTACATTGAGCAGTAATGAGGATTCAGGAACATATACATGTATTGTTACTATAGTACCAGCTCCAGCTTATGAATATGTTATGACTTCTGATACTAATGATATGAATGTTAACTTCACTGTTACTGGTAAGTATGTTATAATCAGGGTTTCCCACAAAGCATGTTATAAGTAAGTTAAAAAGCATGTTTCATCAGTTGGCAAGCACATTATGGAGCAGCTTAAAAATTTTCATTAAAAAATCTAATTTGGACTACACAACATAACAACATGCATATAATTCAGAAAAATTATTAAAATTGTGAATTTTTTCCTTATGACTTTTAGTAAAATTTATATATTTTGATTAATGATTTAATTTTTCTATTTGTTAGATCCAATGATTGGAAG